AAATTATACCTCTAGCCCTTTCTAATTCTGAGTATCTCTTTAAAGTGCTCCTAAATTATAGTGGTGTTTTGGGTCTGGTAGTCAATGAAAGACAGAAAACTTTCATTTGTGTTCTGTGGGATATACAACAAAATAATGATTAGTTCTCTGGGAGTTGGTGGCAAGCTAGGAATCAAGTAATGACTCCTAAAGCAACAGGAGTGACAAACCAGAGTAAAGAATTGGTGCCAACTGTTGTGATGTGTCTGAATGGCTCAGACAGCTTCCAAGTTGGAGTTAACAGATGATTGGCTTTAATTAACACTGATCAAAAAAAAGGGACTGGTGCTTGGAGAGCACTGCCAGACTTTCCAATGCTTCTGGGAAGAAGTGCTAACCCAGTCTCCTTTTTCCTGGTGTTACCAATGTCTCAGACCTCCAACTGCAACCTGGTTGAGTGACAGCTCCCACAAGTCTGGACAAACTTGCAGTGTACATGTGTGATGCTGGTTTGTGCTGCTCTGGCCTTCATGAATAATACGGTCTTTCTTTTCTAGTTCTTCTTCTTCCTTTTTGTGATTTTTGCCCTTGAAATTGCTGCTGGGATCTGGGGATTTTCAAATAAAGAAAAGGTAGGTTGCTTTTAAAAGTTGGGAGTGGTGGGATGCTGGAACAGGTTTCCCAGAGAATCTGTGGCTGTTCCATTCCTGGAAGTGTCCAAGGCCAGGTTGGCTGGGGCTCTGAGCAGCCTGGTCTAGTGGAAGGTGTCCCTGCCCATGGCAGAGGGGCAGGACTTAGGTGATCTTGAAAGTTCCTTTCTGACCCCAAACACTCCATGATTCTATGAATGTGCCTACAGTCAGCAATCTGCTGACATCTATACCAGTACAAGTCAAATCCTTATTACCCAGAGAATTTGGGGGAGAGGGGAAAAGGCTGATTCAAGCAAAACAACACAAAAAAAATCTAACTGTAATATTCAAAAATGAGTGTAGCAGGGAAGCCAGAGTCAAGAGGCTGTTGCCTGCTAGAGGTGCCTTCCAGAGAGTACCTGACTGAGTTGTGAGTTGAAGCAGGCTGGCTGGGAGGCTTTACCACTTCCAGAGAGGAGCTGGGTCATCTGACCGCTGAGTGTATCTGCACCTGAAGCATGACTGATATGGCCTCTCCCTCCCAAGCAGTCAAGATTCTGTCTTGTTTCAAAATCACATACTTAGTGACCAGGGTTGTTTTTCTGCTCACATTGTGTTATTCATTGGGGAAATATAGAAACTTTTGTGGTACAGTAGAATAGGGAATATTTTTGGGCAGTCAGTGGGCAAAGAGTTGGTTCTCTAGCTCCTCTTAGAAGGTCAGCGATTTGGAAGGGGAAGCAGTCTTACCTGTTTAGGTGTCGCTATTAAAGTGAGTGTACAGTTATTTCTCACCTGAAACAGGTGAGCCTTCCATCCACCCTCTGTTTGTACATGGCAGAAGAATGGGTGTTGTAGGCTACAGGAGTTTTGATGACTGACTTGCTGAAAGCAAGTTTTTCATAATTAATACAAGATATGACACTAACACACCATTAATAGACAACTCTTTTTGCTTTCCCTTAGATTATTGATGAGTTAAAGGAGTTCTACATGGACACCTACAGAAAGAGAACTCAGACAAGTGCCAGAGACACCCTGAAAGCATTTCAGTTCACTGTAAGTATATGGTTCTGCTTAACCTGGACAGTAATGCAGTAATGCAACTGCTCCTCACATGTTCTTCATCCTACCTAGTCCCCTGTACAAATTTTTTACCAGTTAGAAGAAACCAAAGATTGCAGAGATGATTTTGTGTAGTATAAATGAATTCAGGATGCTTTTTTTTTTTTTTTTGTCTCTCTGCAGAACTAGTTCTTGTTTTTCTTGTTTTTTCTTGTTTTTCAGTTAGGGGTTCAGCCTTGTGTCTGTAAGGAGCACAGGCAGTTGCCAAAATGATTTTGTGTGTACTTAAAGAGATCTTCCTTTCAGAACCTTGTCCTTTAATTTAATAAAGGCTTGTTAAAATTAGGTTTATAGCAGTCATGTTGACAGGACTTGGTCTGTAATAAAAACTAATGTAAATTATTTCCCCTTTTTTTTTTTTACCAGATTACTGAACAAAAAGATTGTTTAACCTGGGTCTCTTTCTATGTTTTCTGTTGTAGCTAAACTGCTGTGGCCTTACTGGAGCTGTGGAGCAGCAGTACATGGACACCTGTCCAGCAAAGACACTGTCTGAGTCATTCTCTATCAAGGTAAAGCTTGATGTAATTCATCATCAGCTCTGCTCAGTGGGTAGAGTGAGAAAGACACTTCAGGAAACCCTCCCAGTCTGTGGGAAAAGCCCATGCCAAACTGGTGTGTCCGTCTGTGTCTGTGATCAGACTGGTTGTGGAAAACAAATCCACTGTTACTGTGGAAAGAACAAGCAGGAAGTCTGACCTTGCTCAGGAAATGTGCGGTCTGTGTGTCACAGAATCACTGGTGGGGTGGGCAGTGGAAGATCAAAAGTTTGCCTAAAAAAACCCCTCACAGTGCCTTGAGAGCTCTCTTCTCAGTGCATCTTCCTGGTGCTTGCTCGGAGCTGTCAGCTCCCTCTTTGTTAGGGAGAAGTAGAGTCTGGGGTGGGAGCAAGTCTGAAGCTTCAGCAAGGTCAGGGAGGGGTAAGGCGTTGGTAGCCTGCTCAGGTGAGTTGGTGACTGTGAAGGCAATTCTGTAAATCAGGTTTCTCTGTTGGAGTACTGCTGCAGAGGTGCCTGTATACCACAAATAACAGGAGAAAACAGCTTTTGTAGTTTTTAACCACCTCTCTTCCTCTTTTCCTTACAAACATCCTGTGCTCTTGCTTTATGCTCCAAGACAGTTTGTATGAGTCTGTCTATGGTTCTTACCATGCAGGAATTCAGGTAATGACTTGGGTTTTTTCAATTTAATTGACAGTTCACATATCTGCCCACATGAGATTGTTCAGTCTGTATCTTTAGTCTTGTCCATGCAGTCTGAGTTGGAGTGTGTGGGAGTAGCTGAGACTGCACACAGGTTTTGTTTGTTTTTATTCTGCTGTGTGTTTTAGCTTCATCTTGTGATGCCCATTCCCAATTTTAGAAAAACAGTGGATAGATTACAAGATCAAAGAAATGTAATGGAGTGTACCTCTAAGAAGCAGTGCTGTGTTGGTATTCTGATTGAACTGACTCATTCTTACTAGTATATCCCTTTAATCTCAGATTCAGTCTTTCTTTCTAGACTGGATAAGGAACGGCAACAAAAAAGGTAGCTTTCAGCAGCTCACTGATGTTTGCTGCTGGAACAAGCAGGACAGAAGCTGGGATGAGACTTCAACCAGCTACCAGGCTCTTAAAGATTTATACCTCTGTAAAAGTGCCTTGTTCTTTTTACTGGCCAGCATGTGTCTGTTCTGGGAAAAGGACTATACTTTTTTTTTTTTTTTTTTTTTTTAGTCGCAAGGGTTTGTTCTGGCAACATTAAACTGGCTCCTCTATGAATTACAGTAGCAATTAGCAATATCAAGAGCAGCTTTAAATATCTTTTGATAAGGGATGAGCATCATCTGAAGTGCTGACAGCAATTAGTAACAAGCCAAGCCTGATAAACTGCATGTTCAGATTGAGAGGGGAATCCTGCTGTAGTCAAGGTGCTGTTAACAATTCTAAGGTACTTGAAGAGTAGATTTAAATTTTTCCACCAACTCGTGTGTGTAGGACCATCACTGGCTCTCTTTAAGGATGTCACAGTAAAGGCCAGATCAAAGCAGCTTTTAAAAGATGAGTCTTCAAATTAACCTTGTGTGTGTAAAACACAAATGAGCCATCTGTTCCATTTCAGTCCTGCCCTGATGCCATTGATGACGTCTTCAAATCCAAATTCAACGTCATTGGAGCAGTTGGCCTTGGCATTGCTGTAATGATGGTGAGTTTCCAGATTATTTAGAGGGTGGTCAGAGGATACACAGAGCAGAAGTCTTGTAGAGCAGTGCCTGGCCCCACAGCTCACAAGGCCATTCCACTGAGGACAAGTCCCAGCAGGATCTGGGTGTGTGCTGCAGGGCCCTGAGGCAGTGCAGAAGCTGGGATGTCTCTGGCCTTCCTGCTTCTGCTTTGGATTAGGATCTGCCTCCTTGCACTTTCAGCAGTGGTGAAATCTTATCAGTGATGTGTGTATATATGGAGTGAAAATGTATTGGTCATGTTGCTGGCCCACATCTTTATCCTAATATCTGTTGGGGATTCTTCTTCTCTTTCCTTTATAACAATTACAGGCTCTGATAGAGGGCTGAAATAACAGGGCTGCTAAAAAACTTGCACTTTTGTTTGACCTCTCTGGAAAAAAGCACATGCTGGGATGATCAAAGCTTTCTTAGGAGATATGGCAGTGGTTTATAGCTGCTGGTGCTGTGCCAGGGCTTGAAGATCTTTGTGGGTCCCTTCCAACTTGACATATTCTGTGATCAGTTTTCAAGTACTGAGGTGAATGGGATTCCTGGGAATGAACTTTGGGGATTGGGGGGTGGGGAATGGCAGAGTAAAGTGTAAAAATACAGAATAAATGTGACCTCTGGGCTGTGAAGAGCAGCTTGTTCTCATGCTGATAAAAGCACATGCTTTGCTTTTCTGATTTCTAATCTGTTTGCTTTTTTTCCAGATTGTTGGCATGATATTCAGTATGGTTCTGTGCTGTGCCATCCGCAGGGAAAGAGAGATGGTCTAAGAGCTGCAAACTCAAGATTCCTGCACTATACAAATCCTCACCATTAACTTCCATGTTCTGAGAGCATTTCTAAAATGTTACATATTTGTTACCTCTTTAATGCTTTATTTGGTACTGATGTAGGTTCGCTTTTTATGTTACAGGTTAAAACGATAAAGGTTTATCTGACTCAAGACAAACATTGTACATAAAATATCTGACTTTCTTGAAACTTACATAATTTGGTTGTAATTTATGTGGAGACAATTTGATACTTAATAAAGAGTAAGATGTATTGTCTGTGGGGGAGAGGAAATGTTGCTATGTTGATTAATCCCACTGTTTGATGCATAGCAAGGAGTTGAAGTTGCATAACGTGTTAAGTGTTTGGGATAACACAGGAAAGCACTCCTATGCCAGTGCCCCATGTTGGACGGGAATGGGAGATGCTGTCAGAGCATGTCAGGGAAGGTGTGGTCATTCCTCTTTCCTTGGTGTGTGTGAATGAAAGCATGTCTTAAGTACATTCCTAAAATGTCACTGCTGTACCACTTTTTCTGTCACTTCCCTGGAGGGTGGCGAAGGCTGGCTGTCACACAGGTGATGCGTAGGCAGTGGTAGCTGGATGCAGCCAGGCTGGGCTCTGCCTTGGGGGCCAGCTGGGCTTCCATGCCACAGTTGTCCCCTGACACCTGGCATGGCCTTGGGTCCTTGGCAGGACACATTGCCTAGTCTGTGCTCAGGATTTTTTCACTGGCTGGCTTCAGGCTTTGTTTCCCTAAAGCCAGTGAGGTGCAGTCTCAAGGGCTTACAACACGTGTGCCAAATCTCAGGTTTCCAAGTGGAATAAACATAAGTTGCATGAGCAGTTAAGTGAGTTAAGTGTCCAGCTCTGCAGTTGCAGAGTTGAGGCTGTCCTGTTTCAGTTTATGGGAGAGAACAGAGACACCAGTGTGGAACCCTTAGCCTAAAGAACTACCAAGTTGTCCAGCATTTCTACTCTTAAAAAGCTTTTAAGTGTTTTTTTTGTCTCTAAAATATTTCCTGGTGGGGGCTACCTATGGGCTTACCAGCAGGTTGATGTGCTGTTACTGTACCTGGTGCTCGCTTACTGTACAATCTCATCTGTGTTCTTGGAAGCTTCTGGTCTCTGTCCTCTGGGTAATACAAATGTCTCTGAGTAGTCCTTGCTTGTTCCCCCTCTTTCTCCTGCAAGGAGGTTGGTATTTATTATGGGAAATACCAGAATTGGTGGGTGTCAGGCTCTGCTGATGCATGAATGTATTGTCACTTTTGTGTTACCCACTGTCACTTGTCTGAGGGAACCATACAGCTCTCCTCTGTAACACCTTGCACTGTTCTGTGTTCACAGGCCTTCTTGAAAAAAAAAATCAAAAAAGTCAAGTGGTAATCATGCTTTTGTGTGTCTTGCAGAGACTGAAATTACTCCAGAAAGGAGTTATCTTAATTTCTTTTGTGGCTATATGTGACAGTCTGGAGGGGAAAATCTCTCATGGGAATTTGAGAGCAGCCATGTCCCCACTGAGTTCTTGCAGAACTGAGAAGTAGCATTTTTGTCAGCTGGGTAATTCTGGAGATGCAAATGAACCTGGCACCTGGAAGAGCTGGAGTGAATCACTGTCAACCATCAGGAAAGTTTACTGCTGACTTTTTACTTCTTTTTCACAGAATCATTTAGGTTGGAAAAGACCTCCAAGATCATAGAGACCAACCTTTGACCAATCACCCCCTTGTTAACCATACTGGAGCACTGAGTGTTGTGTCCAGTTGTTCCTTGGACACCTCCAGGGGATGGAAACACCACTTCTCCCTGGATAGGCCCTTCCAGTCCAGCAGCTCTTGGCAGAGTCCAAGAAATTCCAGTAGGTTGTAACTAGGGGGAAGAGAACTCAGCTGTAGGCTCAGTACCCCAGATCATGAGGTTTGGGCGGTAACTGCAGAGGCAGCTCTTGATCTGGCATCCAGGTGATCCAGAAGTGAATACCTGCCCCTGTTCTTGGATTCCACAGAAGCTGGGGAGGGGTTTCCTGGGATTTAGTCTTTAGCTTGCATTGCTGCTGCCTTCCCCACACTGTTTATGCCACATTCTGCCTCTCTGATATCCACCCTCAATGCACATGTGGTTTATAAGTGCTATAGCCCAATCTTTTACCCTTTTGAGCATCTCCTGCATGTGGGTTGGTGTTGTCTGAGGAATCAACAGATAGGTAATTCTTACTTTATGTGAGAGGGAAGAGCTGATCTTTATTACTCATGTATTACTTTCCTTTAGGCAAGGACATGGATTACAGATGCAAAACCTGGATTTCCTTTAAGCAAATCATGGATTATAGAGGCAAAAACTCAGCCTCAGACTTGCAGGCTAGTCTGGAATGAGTACTGCTTCAGTAATGAATATTGATGATGTCAAGTTTCACCTTACTGTGAGCAATTGTGATGAAATTTCCTGAAGAATTGGGATCTAAGGAATGGTAGCCCTAAAAATCTAAGTGTGTGGCACTGACTGTCTAAGCAGGGAGCAAGTTCCTGTCTTTGAGTTAAGTCAGGAATAGAATGTGACTTGTGAGGTTAATACAGAGAGACAAAAGGGGCAAAAATAGATTGTTCTGGAAAACAGGAATGGGGGATTACAATATTGAATGGGAAACAGTGCTTAAGACAGTGTCAGAGCTGTGGCAGGAGTGACTGACACCAGTGAAATGCTTGTGGAGGGAGGGAGAGAAGGATCCCTCTGAGGAATACATCTGCTTGGATTCAGAGGGTCAGCAGAGAAGCAAGTATTGATGCTGGGAAAAATTATTCTAGAGATGGCATGTCTATTGGGAGGAAAAAATAGGATGGAGGAAAACATAGAAAAGTAAAACACTGTCTTTTCCATGTCATCCTTCCCTATCAGTAAACAAAGGTGCAGCTATGTCAAGACCTTGAAGTCTATCTGGAATGTGAGGAACCACTCTAGAAAGAAAAAGCAGCTTTGTTTCTAAACAAAAGCAGATTTCTCCTTTACATATAGGTGCTGCTAATTCTTTGTTGTAAATGTGCTTAAAATAGCTGTGGTTTATGGCCAGATGTGACACTGTATATATTACAGTATCTATGGGATGTGTTTGTGGATAGCAAAGAGCTGTGGGATATGAGCAATCCTGGTCTAGATATTTTCTTGGATTTGGATGGTAGAAGAGGTAACTGGTAATGTAAATCCTGTAAAGGACTAACATAAAACACTGCCTGTAAGTCTGTTAAATCATGAAATTACAGAATGGTTTGGAGTGGAAGGGACCTTAAACATCTCCTTCCAACCACTTGCCATGGGCAGGGACAGCTTCTGCCATCCCAAGTTCCTCAGAGCCCCATCCAACCTGGCCTTGGACACTTCCAGGGATGGGAATTGCTCTGGAGCTGCTCTCAGCTGTGCCCCTTGGCTGCTGGGAGGAAAATAAGAACAGATAAAACCAAACCAGTAAAAGATGTGGCTATTCATTTGTTGTAACAGAGCACCATGCTCTGTTCCCATCAGAATATGGGAGTTTGTACTGGGAAACAGCTGGAAAAAGCTTAAGAAAATAAGTGTTTGACTAAAGGGAAGGATGTAGCAGTGAAGTCCTGCGGAAGGCTGTATTTTGTTATCTACAAGGTAATTTTTCCAGAAGATTTTTAGACTTACTTTGGAAAACTGGAGCTAGCCTGCCTCAGGAATGGAGGGAGTCTCAAGTTTGCTGTGTGGTCAGCTCTGTGAGAAGTGTACCAAGGCAGGGAGAGACTGGTTTTCCAGGGAGACAGAGTTTATTGCTGGGAAATGTCTTCCTCCTTTACAATGGAGCTAAGTCATCTGTGGTACAGCATGTTGTCATTTTACAGCAGCCCTGGCGCATGAGCATCATAATTGAGTACAGGGAAAAATTACAGTGGGCCCATGAAGTGGGGAAAGGGTGTGGGAAGCAGCTGGCTACAGTGGAAAGAGAGAGGTGGGCCTGAAACATTGGGAGGGTTGGAATAAATGCTTTCCTCTTGTACACTTCAAAGACTTAAATCCCTATGTTTCAGCATTTAATAGTCTTACTCAGAGAGGGTGTAGAGATGTTTGCAGAAGGGCAGGATGCCATTACCTACAGGGTGACTTCCAAAAGAGCTCCTAAAGGAATTGCTCCAGCTAGAAAAAGCCTGGATTTATTTGACAAGCTCTCTAAGTCATGACTACACTTCTCCCTCTCCACCCACCAAAAGAAAAGAATAGCAAGTGCTTGCAGACAGTTTTTTAGGAACTGCCAGTACCTCTCCACTATTTTTCTTCAGATAAATCTCCAAGCCCAAGCAAGCCTTGCAGAAGGTGGGTTCAAAGCAATTGTCCTGGAGGGGGGGAAAGCAGTTGAGGCCTAAAATCACAGTGATAGATGTGAGTCAGGCACCATTTCCATGGGGGATGTGCCTGAAATTCAGGCTGAGCCCTGCCCTGTTCTCTTGCAGGCATTTGCAAGCCTCTGTTGCCCAGCCGGCCTCCATCTGCAGGCAGTGATTAACACATTGCAAAGGCTCCCTCTGACTGCTCCAGCATCTTTTTCATCCTGAAGTGTCTGAGAGGGACCTGAGAGTCCCATGAGGGATGTCCCATGGGGACCAGGGCCTGCTGTCCCTGGGTGAGAGATGCTGCTCCAGCTGCGGAGTGCAAGCACAGCCCAAGCTGGGGTTTGTTGGGTTTCTATGTTTAGGGGGTGGTTTATGCTTATGGCCGCTGTATAATTATGATTATAAAATAGCCACCTCTTCAGTTCCTGCCTCTTGGCAGCTCTCAGGAAATTACCTAATTTGAACTGCCAGCAGTGAGGACCTTGAACCCTATCAAAAGTCAGTCTTTTAACTGAACCTAGAACCTCTAGACATTTGCCAGACTCTGCTGGCTGTGACAAAGACAGTTAAGTGAGATTTTTCCACTGCTGGACACAGGCTTCCATATGCAGGGCTCCCACAAAATGAATCCACAAGGCAGCTATTCATGGCATGCTGAATGCCTCCTCTTCTCTCACTGCCAATTTTGGGATCAATAGAAATTCAGGCTGGGGCTGAGAACTGACCTTTTATGCCTTGTTCTAATGCTGGCCTTCAGTCCTTGCCTTGCCATGAACGAGGCAGCTGCGCTTCTGCTCTGCCTGACCAACACCACCCCTCCCTTTCCAACACCAGCGGGGCAGGTCCTGCTGGTTGAAAGGAACTGCCATCTCCAGCTGCTGCTTCGTGGCTGTGTGTGAGGAAAGAGCAGGGTGGAGAAGAGCTGAGGAAGCTGC